TGGAACTGCAGCGCCGTAAACGAGGCGCCGCCCCGTGGACGCAAATGGAACTGCAGCAACCCCCTGTGGACGCAGGGAACCGCAGCATCCCCCCCACCACGGACACCCCAACCCACCAGGGACACCCCATGGAAGCGGAGCGCCAGGCACCCACAGCGTCCCCCATGGACCCTCCCCAGCACCAGACTTGGGGTGAAGGCCGATGAATTGGGCTCATGGCGGGGGGGGGGGGGGGCGGCTCGGGCCTCACCGAGCGCGCGGCAGGCGTTGGTGCCGGGGTCCAGCCTGTAGCCACCCCCGCAGTCGCACTTGTAGGAGCCCGGGAGGTTGTGGCACTGTTGGCTGCAGGCGGTCGGGTCCTGGCACTCGTCAATGTCTGCGGGAACAACGGGGGTCGGGGGCAGCCCATAGGGGTTCCCATGGATGGGAGTTGGGGGGTCCCATAATGGGGTTCGGGGGGGGGGGGTCAGCACTCACCGAGGCAGCTCCGTCCATCGGGGCCCAACCGGAAGCCGTCGGGGCACAGGCACTCGTAGCCCAGGGGCAGGTCCCGGCACACGTGGGAGCAGCCGCCGCCGTCCAGGCACTCATTGACCCCTATGGGAGGGGGGGAACGGAGCCCAAATGGGGGTGTGGGTTAGGGGGGAGACGCCCAGACCCGACCCTCCCCCAACGTGGTCCCTCATTGTGGGGGCGTCCCGGCCCTACCGCACTCCTTGAGGGGCTCATCCGACCAATCCCGGCAGTCGCGGCGGTGGTCGCAGACGCGCTCCATGGGGATGCACTCACCGGAGCGGCACCGGAACCCAGCACAGGCGGTCACTGGGGGTGGACACACACAGGGGGTGTCAGAGCCCCCCCCATGGGACCCCCAACTCCTCCCCATGGCGCCCCCCCCCGCGCTCACCGTTCCTGCACTCAGCCTCGTCGCTGCCGTCGGCGCAGTCGGTTTCGCCGTCGCAGCGCCGCAGCCTCGGGATGCAGCGCCCGTCCCCGCAGCTGAACTGGTCCGGGCGGCACGAGACGGCGGCTGTGGGGGGGCACGGGGGGTCAGAGCGGGCCGGTGCCCCCCAACTGATCTGCACCCCATGAGGGACCCCCACACACACACTCAACCTGCACCACAAAACTTGTGCCCACTCCCGAATGTGCACCAGGGATTGGGGGGGGGGGGACGGGGAGGAATTGGGGTGATGATGGGGGTCAGTGGGGTACAGGGGGGCAAGGGGGTGCAGATGGGATCAACAGGGTGCAGATGGAATCAGTGGGGTGCCAATGGGTCTCAGAGGGGTGCACATGGTGCTCAATGGGGTGCAGGGATCTCAATAGGGTGCAGGCGTCTCAGTGGGGCACAGATGGTGCTCAATGGGGTGTTCAATGGGATGCAGGGGTCTCGGTGGGGTGCAGGGGTCTCAATGGGGCTCACATGGTGCTCAATGGGGTGCTGATGAGGATCAACAGGGTGCAGGGGTCTCAGTGGGGCACAGATGGTGCTCATTGTGTGTTCAATGGGATGCAGGGGTCTCGGTGGGGTGCAGGGGTCTCAATGGGGCACACATGGTGCTCAATGGGGTGCACATGGGCTCAATGGGGTGCACATGGTGCTCAGTGGGGTGTAGAGTCTCAATGGGGCTCACATGGTGCTCAATGGGGTGCTGATGAGGATCAACAGGGTGCAGGGGTCTCAGTGGGGCGCACATGGTGCTCAATGGGGTGCAGATGGGCTCAGTGGGGCACAGGGGTCTCAGTGGGGTGCAGATGGGCTCAATGGGGCGCACACGGTGCTCAGTGTGGGTCCGAGGGGGGTGTTCGCGCACCGCATCCGCGCTCGTCGGCGCCGTCGGCGCAGTCCTCGGTGCCGTCGCAGCGCCAGCGCCGGGGCACGCAGCGCCCGGAGCCACAGCGCAGCTGCAGGGGGGGGCAGGCGCGGGGGGCGCGGGGGGGGCCGCAGCTCGGGGCCGCCTCGTCCGAGCCGTCGGGGCAGTCGCGGTCCCCGTCGCAGGCCCAGAGCCGGGGCACGCAGGAGCCGTCGAGGCAGCGGAAGGCGTCGGCGCCGCACGGGGGCGCTGGGGGGCACCCGGCCTCGTCCGCGCCGTCCTCGCAGTCGCGGTCCCCGTCGCAGGCGAAGGCGCGGGAGATGCAGGAGCCGCTCCCGCAGCGGAGCTGATCCGGGCCGCAGGAGCGGGGCGCTGCGGGGCACGGGTCAGTGCGGGGGCACGACGGGGGCTATGGGGGGTTATGGGGGCTATGGGGCTATGGGGAGCTATGGGGAGTTATGGGGGGGGATGGGTGCTATGGGGGGGTTATGGGGCTATGAGGGGTTATGGGGACTATGGGGTGGTATGGGTGCTATGTGGGCTATGGAGGCTATGGAGGGTTATGGGGGCTGTGTGGGTTATGGGGGATTTGGGGGGCTATGGGGGCTATGGGGGTTGGGGGGGGCTATGGAGGTTATGGGGGGCTATGGGGGTTATTGGGACTATGGAGGTTATGGGGGGCTATGGGGGCTATGGGGCACTCACGGCACTGCAGCTCGTCGGAGCCGTCCTCACAGTCGCGGTGCCCATCGCAGCGCCAGAGCAGGGGAACGCAGCGACCCCGGAGTCCCCCGCAGCTGAACTCGGATGGGGAGCAGGACACGGAGCCTGGGGCACGGCACAGGGTGCATGGCACACACAGGACACGCATGGTACACACATGGCACACACAGGACACATGGCACACACATGGCACACACAGGACACATGGCACACACATGGTACACACAGGACACATGGCACACACATGGCACATAGCACACACAGGACACACATGTGACACATGGCACACACATGACACACACAACACACAGGACACACGTGACACACACGTGACACACGGCCCACGGGCACTCACTGCAGCTCTCGGCGGTCTCGTCGGAGCCGTCCCGGCACTCGGCGCTGCCGTCGCACACCCAGGAGCGGGCGATGCAGGAACCGTCCCCGCACCGGAACTGCCTCCGCCCGCACTCCCCGGGGCCTGCGGGCAGCCCGGTCAGACCAAACCCGCCCCCCCCCGGTACCGGGCTCAGCCCAACCCCCCCCCGGTACCAGCCTCAGCCCAACCCCCCCCGGTACCGGGCTCAGCCCAACCCCCCCCCCGGTACCGGGACTTTGCCACGGGAGGGGTTGGGTGTGACCGGATGACCTGAGGCGACCTTTGCCCCCGGTGACCCTGTCGTGGACCCTGGGTGCGGCCCGGGGATGGAGCTGATCCCTGGATCCCATTCCCAGGATTTTCTGCTGCATTCCCAGGTTTTCCATCCCCATTTCCGGGTTTTCCATCCCCATTCCCAGTTTTTCTGCCCCATTCCCGTTTTTTCTGCCCCATTCCCAGTCTTCCATCCCCATTCCCGGTTTTTCTGCCCCATTCCGTTTTTTCTGCCGCATTCCCGGTTTTCCATCCCCATTCCCGTTTTTTCTGCCCCATTCCCGGTTTTCCATCCCCATTCCCGGTTTTCCATCCCCATTCCCGGTTTTTCTGCCCCATTCCCGGTTTTGCAGCCCCATTCCCGGTTTTTCTGCCCCGCTCCCGGTTTTCCATCCCCATTCCCAGTTTTTCTGCCCCGTTCCCGGTTTTCCATCCCCATTCCCGTTTTTTCTGCCCCATTCCCGGTTTTTCTGCCCCATTTCCGGGTTTTCCAGCCCCGTTCCAAGGGGTCCCAGCCCCATTCCCGGCGCCGGCCACACCCGCAGCCCCCGTTGGGCGTGGCCACCCCTCGCCCTCCCGGGCGCGCCGCTCTCTCATTGGCCAGCGGGGGTTTCCCCGCCGGGTGGCCAGTCCGCGCTCCCGCCAATCAAAAGCGCGTCCGCCGCAGGGCGGGGCGTTGCGCGGACTGTGATTGGCCCTTGGCGGCGCCGCGGGGGGGGACGGGCGGGACGGCGCTTCCTTATCCCCGCCCACCAGCCCCGCCCTCCGCCCGCGACCATGGGGGGGTCCCGGTGAACGGCGCCGGTTCCCCCCCACCCCCCACCCCCGTCCTCCCCCACGCGGACCCCGGGGGGGGGATGGGGACGGACCCCGTTGGGGGGGGGGCGGGGTCAGACCTCGTGGCGGGGCCGAGCCCCGGTGTGTCCGGATGCCCCCGGTTCCCCCCCCAGCAGCGGGACCCCCCGGTTCCCCCACACCCCCCATCCCCGCACCCATCCCCGGTCCCGGTCCCGCTCCCCCCCCGTTACCTGCTCCCGGTGCCGCCGCCGCCGCCGCCCCGAGCAGGAGCAGCCGCAGCAGCGCGGCCGCCGCCGGCCCCATCCCGGAGCCGCGGTGGCGCTGGGCGGGGGCCGCTGCCGGTGCCGGGGCCCGGAGCAGGATCACGATCGCGATCGCGGCTCCGCTCCCATTTCAAGGGCAGCGCGGGGGGGGCGGGGCCTCGCGTGGGGTGATTTCAAACGGGACTACGTCACCGGGGGGGCGGGGCCGGGCGGAGACACGGAACTGAGACCGCCCCCCTCCCCCCGGCTCCGGCATCCCCCAGCCCCTTCATTGACCCCCATTGAGTCCCCATAGAACCCCCATACACCCCCCCAGCCCCTTCATTGACCCCCATTGAGTCCCCATAGAACCCCCATAGACCCCCCCCAGCCCCTTCATAGATCCCCATTGAGTCCCCATAGAACCCCCATAGACCCCCCCAGCCCCTTCATAGATCCCCATTGAGTCCCCATAGAACCCCCATAGACCCCCCCCAGCCCCTTCATAGATCCCCATTGATTCCCCATAGAACCTCCCCAGCCCCCTCACAGATCCCCATTGAGCTCCCATGGACCCCCCAAAGACCCCCTCATAGGCCTCCATTGAATCCCCATAGACCCTCCCCAAACACCCCCCCCAGCCCCCTCACAGACCCCCGCTGAGCACCATAGAACCCCCATGGATCGCCCCCAAGCCCCATCAATTGCACTGATTTCCTCTTCGCTTCCTTTATTACTGTTCAAAATCCAGTGACAGCGACAGGCGCCGGCTGGGGGGGGCACCATGGGGGGGACACCATGGGGAGCACCATGGGGGGAGGGCACTCGGCTGTATAAATATGGAGGTTTTATACAGGGCGCAGCTACGACCCCGGGGCTGGGAGGGCTCCCGGGGTGGGGGGGGGGATGTGGGGCTGGGGTGGAGACACAGGACATGGACGGCGCCAGGGCCTTGGAATGTGGGTCCGGGCTCCGCCGGGGGCCTTAGTCCTCGTCGGTGCCACTGCCGGAGCGATCCTGCGGGAAGGGGGGGCTCAGCGATGGGGATAGGGGGGGAGGTTGTGGGGCAGGAGGAGGCAGGTGTGGGGCAGGAGGTGGTTGTTGGGCAGGAGGCTGTTGTTGGGCAGGACAAAGCGGTTGTGGGGCAGGAGGATATGTTTATGGGGCAGGAGGCGGTTGTGGGGCTGGAGGATGTGGTTGTGGGGCAGGAGGAGGTGGTTAAGGGGCAGGAGGAGGCGGTTAAAGGGCAGGAGGAGGCGGTTGTGGGGCAGGAGGAGGAGGCGGTTGTGGGGCAGGAGGCGGTTGTGGGGCTCCTTTACCTCCTCCTGCTCCTCGTCGCTGTCGTCGTCGCTCACCACGGGCTTGGCGCGGGCGCTGCGGCTCGTGCGCCGCCGGCCTTTACCACGCTCCGGCGCCTTCTCCTTGCGGCCCAGCTTGATCTTCACCTTCACCGAGCGCGCTGCGGGCGCAGGGCGAGGATGAGGATGGGGATGGGGGGTAGGGGGGGGGCCTGGGGTGTCCCCATGGGGCCACTCACACTCGGACTCGGAGCCTTCCTCTTCGCCGTCCTCCTCCTCATCGCTGTCGTCGCCGTCGCTCTCCTCCTCCTTCTCGATCTTCTGCCGCACGCTGGTGAACACCGACTGCAGCACGATGGAGTCCTCGTAGATCTGGGGGAGGAGGAAGGAGCCGGTGGGCATGGGACAGAGCCAGCGCGGCCGCGGTGGTGCCGGTGCCGGGCCCGGGTGCCCCAATCCCCCCTCACCAGTGAGCCCTCGAGGTTGAAGGTCTGCGCATTCTGGCACAGCAGCATCACGTCCTTCTCCAGGTCGTTGAGGCTCCGGTACTTGTGGTTGCGGATCCGCTCCTGCCAGAGGGGAAGGGGTCATGCTCCTGGCCAGCGCCAATGGGGGCAACCCAACCGCAATGGTTGCAACCCAATGGCAATGGGCACAACCCAACGCCAATGGGTGCAATCAAATGCCAACAGGCACAACCCAATGGCAATGGGCACAACCCAACATCAATGGGCACAACCCAACCGCAACGGGCACAACCCAACCGCAACAGGCACAACCCAACATCAATGGGCACAATCAAATGCCAACAGGCACAACCCAATGCCAACGGGCACAACCCAACATCAATGGGCACAACCCAACCGCAACGGGCACAACCCAACGCCAACGGGTGCAACCCAACCACAGTGGGCACAACCTCACACCGTGGTTTGTCTGCACCCAACACAAGTCACCACGGCCGCATCCATTGGCACCCAGGACCGCTGGTGCCGGTGCAGTGCTGCCGTTACCTTGATCTTCTTGAAGTCCACAGGCTTGCGGATGAGCTCATAGTACTCGGGCAGCTCCTTGCGGGACGGCAGCTGGATGAAGACTTCACTGAGCTGCCGTCCACTGCTGCTGCAAAGAGACACCGCGTGGCACCGCCAGCACCGGCCCCACCGTGACGCCCCATGCCGGGCGCTGCCGCCATGACCGGGCCCATGCGGTGCCTCCTACCTGTCCTTGTACTTGATGACGGCATCCACAATCTTCTTCATCTTCTTGGTGAGGTTTGGGGGGTTTGGTGAGAGCTTCTCCGCTGGCGGCCGCCCACGCTTCTTCTGCTTCTTGCTCTCCTCGTCCTTGTCACGGCTGCGGGTGCTGGCGGTGCCGGCTGCAGCGGCGGCGCTGGAGCCCACGTCCGGGTCCCGCTTCCGCTTCCGGGAGGACTTCTTCTGGCGAACCTCCTCCTCGATCTCCTCCAGCGTCCCCTCCTCGATGGCCTGCGCGGGACGGGGCCGCTAGCGCGGGGCTGCCGCTGAGCCCCCCGGGCCCAACCGTGACGGCTGCGGTCCCTGCCCTGGGGGGGGCCATGAAGGTCCCTCGCGGGGGGGGGGGTCATTATGGGATGGGGAGAAAGGAGCCGGCAACAAGAGGCTCCTGGAGCCACCATCACAACTCCCTGCTCCTGCTCAGGGCAGCCCCTGGTTATGGCAGAGCCCCGTCCCTGGTTATGGCCCAGCTCCATGCCTGGCTATAGCAGAGCCCCATGCCTGGCTATGGCACATCTTTGTGCCAGGCAACGGCACACAGCTCCATGCCTGGCTACGGTGCGGCTCCGTGCCTGGGCATGGCACAGCCCTGTGCCTGGCTGTGGCACACATCTCCATGCCTGGTGATGGCACAGCCCTGTGCCTGGGTATGGCATATATCTCTATGCCTGGCTATGGCACACATCTCCATGCCTGGCTATGGCACACATTTCCACGCCTGGCTATGGCCCAGCTCCGTGCCGCAGCACCACGGGCACAGTGTTTGCCAGGCTAGGTTTTGGTGAGGTCCCCGGCCCAGGGCGCTGGTCCCGGGGGCCGCAGCAGTGAGAAGCCATTGCAGAACGATGCTGTACCATGTATACCTTGAGCCACTGCTTCTCCGTCAGCGAGTCGCTGTAATCGACCTCCTTGCGGTGCCGCGAGCCGCGGCCAAACATCTTCTCCTCCTCCTCCTCGCAGGTCAAGCGCTCGACCTCGGCGTCGTCCTTGATGATCCAGGAGGGAAGCTCGTCCTCCTCCATCAGCCGCGGTTTGCGCTTGGGGTTCCGGGCCTCCTCGCGCCGCCGGTCCAGGTCCATGCGCTGCAACGAGAGGGCTCTGCCCTTGGAGCGTCCCCGCGGTGCTGCAGGAGCCAAGGGGCACCCAGGGGATGCGGTGACACCGGGCTGGGGACGCCACCTGCAGCCAGGGGCGAGGGGCTGGGGGTGTTTTGATGGATGCGGTGGGAGGCGATGGCTCTGCTCCGCACCAGCTTCACCATTGGGCATGGCCACCCTCGCTAAGGCATTGCCCAACGGAGGCTCCACGTTGGGCTCTCTCCAAGCTTTTCCTCCTCGTTCCATGCTCCTCGTCCCACCAAGAGGGACAATTTTAGGTGGGAAACCGGCTTTTAGGCTGTGGTGCAGCCTCAGCTCCTCCTCCCCACAGTCCCTTCCTCCGGCTTCCCATCCCAGGAGCTCATCCCTTACCGGAGCCGGGATCCTCCTGGCTTGGGCCCTGCTCTCTGCTTTGGCTTTACCTGCTGCTTCCTGGCTCCCAGGCAGGGGATGCTCACAGAGAGGCTGCTCTGGCCGCTACCTGGGGGGGGGACCGCAGGCATCATCCCGCACCTCCACCTGCTCCACGCTCACCATGAAGAGGTCGAACTCCTCCTCGTGCCGGGCAATCATCTGGTTGACAGTCTCATCGTCAGGGACTTCATCTTCCTCCTGCCAGGGATGGAGACGGCGGCGGCTGAGGGCGAGCGCCGGCTCGGCCGCGGCATCGCTCGGAGCTCGGCCCCGGGGCAGCGCTAGCACCCGACGCGTGGGGCCATGGTTGGGGTGGGGGGGGCTGTGTGTGGTGTCTGCTGCGCCCTGCATTGATCTCTTATGGGGGGGGTGTTTCTCTTTCTGGGGCTGGGGGGGGTCTCAATTGGTCTCTCTACGTTCTCCGCGGTGCAAAGAGCACCGGCGGGAGCTGGCAACGTGCGGTGGCCGAGTCAGCAGCGAGGCCGAGGATTGAATGGGCGTGGAGACTGAGCAACCCCCTCTCACCTTTAGAGGTGGTTCCTCCAACTCAGCGGTCAGGCACAGGGTGGAGGCAGTGTGGGGGAAGCTGCCACTGCCGCTGCCCGCGCTGTATCTGCTCTGTGGATAAAAGGAGGACTTCAGTCTCCAGGGCTGTCAATCCGGCGCCTCTCACCGACGCGACACAGAAAAACCCCTTTGCTACTGCTAGGACCAGGCAGGGGGGCGTGAAAGGGCTCGGGTTGGAAGGGACCTTAAGGCTCAGCTTGTTCCAACCCTCACGCTGGAGCCGCCTGCTCCGAGCCCCGTGGTCCGACCTGGCCTCGAGCGCTGCCAGGGACGGGGCAGCCGCAGCTTCTCTGAGCCTGAGATCTATCGCTTCCTCGTGGAGTGGTTGGGGTTGGAAGGGACCGCAGAGCTCATCCGGTTCCAACCCCCGCCACGGGCAGGGACACCTTCCTCTAGAGCAGGCTGCTCCGGCCCTGTCCAACCCGGCCTGGAACGCAGCCACGGATGGAGGGGGCCGAGCTCTTCCTGCTCCTCCGGGACGCACCGAGCCGCGCGTTCAGGAGTCAATGGAGGCCCCTTACCTCGTCCTGCTCCTCGTGCTCCAGGATGGCCTGCAGGAAGGCTCTGCGCTCATGGCTCGAGGACTTCTGGTCGAACATCCCGGCCTGGATCACTTTCTGGTCCACGTTGAGCTTGTACTTGGCGGCGGCCAAGATCTTCTCCTCCACGCTGTTGACGGTGCAGAGGCGGAGGACGCGCACCTCGTTCTGCTGCCCAATGCGGTGCGCCCGGTCCTGGGCCTGCAGGTCCTGCCGGGTTACAAACACGGTGTCAGGCCTCGGGATCATCCCCAGGGATCCTCCGGAGCCGGGTGTCCGACGCCTCGGCGCGGGCAGGGAGCGGCAGCTGCCCCGGTTCTTGTGCAAGGACACGGTGGTGGTGGATGGGTGATGGAGCAGGGATGGGTGATGGATGCAGGGATGTGGCTGCGTCTTCATCCCTGGACTGGAGCCGCCAGCACCGGCTGCTGGTCACAGAGAGGGGCTGAGGCTTGAGAGCTCTTCAAGGAGCCGTTGTCTCCATTCACTTTGCTCCCTTTGGGTGGTTTCTGTTTGTTTGGTTGGGTTTTTTTGGGGTTGCTCGGTTGGTTTTGACCTGGTTTGGTTGGGTTGGGTTGGTTGGGTTTGGGTTGGATTTAGGTTGTTGGTTTTGGGTTGGTTTCAGGTCGGTTTGGTTGATTTTGGGTGCATTTGTCTCGTGTTGTTTTTGAGTTGGTTTGTTCGATGGTTTTGGGTTGGTTGTTGGTGGTGTTGGGTTGGTTGGTTGTGGTGGGTTGGTTGGTGGTGGGTTGGTTGGTGTTTGGCACTGGGTTGGTTGTTGGGTTGGCTGGTTGCTGGTTGGTGTTGGGTTCGTTGTTCGTTGGCACTGGGTTGGTTGGTGGTTGGTTGGTGGTGGGTTGGATGGTTGCTGGTGTTGGGTTGGTTCATTGTTAGTTGGTGTTGGGCTGGCTGGTGGTGTTGGGTTGGTTTGTTGGTGGAGGGTTGGTTGGTGGTTGGTTGTTGGCGTTGAGTTAGCTGTTGGTTGGTGGTAGTTGGTTGGTTGTTGGGTTGGTTGGTGGTGTTGGGTTGGTGGTTGTACATTGTAGGCTGTTGGTGAGCTGTGCCTGTACCTGGTGCGGGTTCCAGTCGCTGTCAAAGATGATGACGGTGTCGGCCGACTGGAGGTTGAGGCCCAGGCCGCCGGCGCGAGTGCTCAGCAGGAAGATGAAGTACTCGGAGCCCGGCTCGTTGAATGTCTTCAGCAGCATCCCCCGGTCCTCAGCCTTCGTGGTCCCTGCAGCAGAGCGGGGGGGGTTAATCCTGCCCAGAGAGGAGCCAAGGAGTGCTTGGGAGAAGAGCTGGAGCTTGGGATGTGCCTGGCTTTAAGGGGGCAGCAGCAGGAGCTGGGGATCAGCCGGCCTTGAGGGCCTTCCCCATGTTGGGAATTGCTCCATGGTGGGACCAGAACATGGACTGGGAGGGGAAACCAGGGCTCACGGAGCCGCTCTGGTCTCATTCTGCACCTCAGCTCTGCAGTGGCTCAAAGCTGCTCCCAGGCTGGATCAGAAAAGAGCCAGCACCAAATCCATGGATTCAATATAGAGCCGGCACCAAATTAATGGATTCAATATAGAGCTGGGACCAAATCCATGGATTCAATACAGAGCTGGCACCAAATCCATGGCTTCATTACAGAGCTGGCACCAAATCCATGGATTCATTAAGGAGTCAGCACCAAATCCAGGGATTCATTAAGGAGTCAGCACCAAATCCAGGGATTCATTACAGAGCCAGCACCAAATCCAGGGATTCAATACAGACCCAGCACTACTTTCTGCTGGCAAAGAGGGCTCGGGGCTGTGCCAGCTCCGGCAGCCCCCCGGTACCAGATCTGGTTAAGGGAGGTTGGGTCCGTGCTCTCCTGGCGCCAAGCACCTTCCAGCTCATCCCCCAGTCCCCAAGTCCTTCCCGTATTGGCCCTCCCAGCGCGACGGGGGCCTCCCGGATGCCAGGACCCAGCCCCCCTGGGTGCCCTTTGCTCCCTTTGGCCCTCACCATCCAGCCGGAGGTACTTGAAGCCGCGGTAGGCGAAGTAATCTTCCATGATGGTCATGAGCGAGGTCATCTGGCAGAAGAGCAGCACCTTGTGGTTGGTGGCGCGGAGCTTGGGCAGGATCCGGTCGAGGAGCTCGAACTTGCCAGAGGCACGGTACAAATCCAGCCTGGAAGAGCAGGAGCGGAGGGAGATGAGGGCTCGGGAGCAGGAATCCCAATGGGGCTCCTCCCTGCGGCTCCCCCCCCACCACTGAACTCACCCCTGCACGATGCCTCCCGTGAAGCCCAAGTGCTCCGAGAAGGATTCCTGCAAGTGGGAAGAGGAATGGGGTCAGGAACTGGCCACACAGCCAAAGGAACCCAATGGAAGGGGCCCGGGAGAGAACCAGGCAGGGAGCCCGCTCCTGGATCGCCTCCGGAAGCACCAAGGCTGTTCCCAAGGAGCTCATCCTGATGGGATACATCCCATTGGTGTCGTGAAGCCTGGCACATGGAGGGCAACACTTCGCCTATGCCATGACCACAGGAGCTCTTGGGTTGATCCCAGCTGGGTTGGTCCCAGTTGGGTTGGTCTCCCATTGGGTTTATCCCTGTTGGGTTGATGCCCATATAGCAGACCCCTATAGCATTACCTCGATGTGCTGGAACATGTAGGGGTGGTTGCAGATCTTCCGCAGCTGCATGATGGTGTTCATGAGGGTTTTGGTGCCTCCTTTACCCTGTGCCAAGGAAATGGACAATCAGACATCCCCGTTTCCTGAGGAGCATTCCGGAAGCGCTCAGCCGGAATTCCCACTTGGCTTTGAAACCCTTGTCCCTATCAAAGCGGAGTTTGGTGCTGCAGGGACGAGCAGCAGGAGCCGGAGCAGCCCCCCCTCACCCTGGCGGCATTCCCACCCATCCCGAAACAGGGAGACTTCCGTATCCCGACCTTCTTGTCCTTCTCAGAGCCGTCGGTGAGGAGCACGCCCTTGGCCTGCATGTGCCGGTAGAGGACGCGCTGCAGCGCTGACATATCACACTTGATCACATATTCCACCTGCAGGCAACCAGGGAGCAATGAATCCCCCCGGCACGGCCCTGGCTCATCCCGGAGCCCCGCACGCATCCCATGGGATAGGGAGGAGCCGTCACCTTCTCGGGCAGCTGCGCTTCAACCTCCTTCTTGAGGCGGCGCAGCAGGAAGGGCCTCAGCACCTTGTGCAGGCGCCGGATGATCAGGATCGTTTCCTCCTCGTTCAGGTCCACCTGCGGCAGCGGGAGAGGAGCCCTCACCAAAGGGATGCTCTTCCCATGGGATCCCCGGGATCCGGGGACACCAGAAGCGATTGCCCCACCTCCCGTTTGCTCCCTGCAGGCCCACCCCAACCCCAGGATGCTTCCCCTTAAGGTGGGTGCTGCAGTGAGGCAGAGGAGCCCAGAGGCTGCGAGACCCTCACCGCAGCCTCCTGTGGCCACGAGCCCCTCACCGCAGCCTCATGGCTGCAAGCCCACCACCGCAGCCTCGCGGCCGTACCTTCTCGCCCGTCATGGCGAAGGGGGCGTTGAACCACTGCTCGAAGGTGCTGCAGCTCTTGAAGATGGTTGGCAGGAGGAAGTTGAGGAGCGCCCAGAGCTCCGGGAGCTTGTTCTGCAGCGGCGTCCCGGTGAGCAGCAGGCGCCGCGGGGCCACGTAGTGGGTGTTGAGCACCTGCGTGAGCTTGCAGTGGTGGTTCTTCATGCGGTGGCCCTCGTCCACGATCATGTACTTCCACCGGATCTACCACAGAACCATGGAATAGCCAGGGTTGGAGAGGGCCTTAACGTCACCCAGCTCCAACCCCACTGCCACGGGAAGGGACACCTCACACTGAACCATGGCACCCAAGGCTTTGTCCAACCTGGCCTTGAACACTGCCAGGGATTGAGCATTCACAGCTTCCCTGGGGAACCCATTCCAGTGCCTCAGCACCCTCACAGGAAAGAATTCCTTCCTTATACCCAATCTAAACTTCCCCTGTTTCAGTTTGAACCCGTTACCCCTTGTCCTGTCACTGCAGTCCCTAATGAAGAGTCCCTCCCCAGCATCCCTATAGCCCCCTGCTGATACTGGAAGCTGCTCTGAGCTCTCCCCGCAGCCTTCTCTTCCCCAGCCCCAACTTCCTCAGCCTGTCTCCATACAGGAGCTGCTCCAGCCCCTGATCATCCTCGTGGCCTCCTCTGGACTTGTTCCAACGGCTCCACGTCCTTTTTATGTTGAGGACACCAGAACTGCACCCAGTGCTCCAGGTGAGCTCTCACAAGGGCAGAGCAGAGGGGCAGGATCACCCCCTTGGCCCTGCTGCCCACACTCCTTTGGATGCAGCCCAGAATACGGCTGCTTCCTGGGCTGTGAGCGCACATCCATGGGGAGCAGCAGGGGGGTGAGGACCGGAGGGATACCCTGAGCCAGGAGCAGGGAGGACACCAGCACCAGCACCTTCCATGGCCCAAGGCAAGAACTGAGCTGGGGTTTTGGTGCGTGGCTCTTCATGGTGTCCCCAACCCAGGGGACACCCCGGTGTTCATCTTCACCCCGTGGTGTTGGGACAAGGCAGAGCCCCCCCAGCGTTCAGGGACCACCTCAGAAGGGTTCTACCGAGTGCTCCTCACCCCATGGATTGATTAAAGGGAAGGGAAAAGCAATAGAATGGGAGAATCCCAAGAGAAAGATGACTTGAAGGGGGGGGTGGCCCACCTTGGCCAGGATGTGCTTGTCCTTGATGATGTACTCGTAGGTGGTGAGCAGGACGTTGAACTTCCCGCTGCGGAGCTGCGGCACGAAGGCGCGTCTCGCTGCTGGCGAGCCCTGCAGAGGCGATTTCCAATGGGAATGGGAAGGACAAGCATGGATTCAGGGCCGGGAAGCATCCCAGATCCCATGGGATGAAGGACGTGAGGACCGGAAGGAGGAAAAGGTGAAGCTGAAGGAGCCCAGGAGCGAACCCAGCGCCAGCACTTGCCTTGTACGAGACCTTGACCACAGAAGGAGCCCACTTGTCGAACTCGTAGGCCCAATTGGACAGAGTTCTGGGGGAAAAACCAAAAGATTCGGTCAAAGGGGCGCCGGTGCCGCGGTCCCAGGGCCTGGCTGAGCAGGAACACGGTGCTTACGAGAGCGGGACGATGATGAGGAAGGGCCCGTTGATGCGCTTGTGCTCCATGAGGTACGTGATGAGGGCGATGGTCTGGATGGTCTTGCCCAGCCCCATCTCATCGGCCAGGATGCCGTTCAGGTTGTTGTTGTACAGGGACACCAACCACTCCAGCCCCTTGATCTATGGGGAAAACAGGGATTGAAGGGTGGGAAGGAGCCGGCTGCAGGCCCAGGAGGAGCCCGTTGGGTGCCTCCCGTCCCCACCTGGTACTGCTTGAGGACCCCGTTGACCATGAGCGTGGATTGCTTGTCTACCCGCTCGGTGACAGCATGGGCCACAGCATAGTAGGACTGCAGGCCCCGGGCCAGTGCCTGCGACACCCCGTACTCATCGTCCACGTCCTGCTTGGCATTCCTGCCCAGGAGAAAAGGGGATGAGCAATGGGATCCCTGTGGAATGAAGCTCCCGGGGAGCCCCCCCATGGGTCCTGCCGACGGGGAAGGACTCACTCAATGATGTGCCTGGCGTCCACCTCGGAGACGTCGTCGCTGTCGGGGTCGGGGATCTTCTTCTTCTCCTCCACGGGCAGCGCGGGCTGGGTGGGCTGGGGCTGCTCCTCCTCCTCCTCCTGCCAGGACACAACCCCCGGATGGCCGCTCAGCACCATCCCCTCCGCGCCGCCATCCCTTGGGATGCGCCGGGGGCTGCTCCTCACCTCCTCCTCCTCTTCGGAGCCGCTCTCCTCGCTGTCGGAGCGCGGGGCCACCTCGTACCTGGGTCAATGCAGGCAGGGCCGGGTCAGTGCAGCGGGACCAACCCCTCCAGTTCTCATCAGCACTATCCAGTCCCCCATAAAACACCGGTTTAACCCCCCTTAACTTCCATGCATCCTTTAGGGAATGCAGCCAGAGCCACCCGTCACCCTCCTAACAAGCTTTTCCCATTGGTGATGGGGTCTTTCCCCATGCCTATAGGGATGCTGGGGATGGACTCTTCATTAGGGACTGTCGTGACAGGACAAAGGGTAACGGGTTCAAACTTAAACAAGGGAAGTTCAAATTAGGTATAAGAAGGAAATTCTTTCCTGTTAGGGTGGTGAGGCACTGGAATGGGTTGCCCAGGGAGATTGTGAACGCTCCATCCCTGGCAGTGCTCAAGGCCAGGCTGGACAGAGCCTTGGGTGCCACAGTTCAGTGTGAGGTGTGGGGGTTGGACGTGGATGATGTTAAGGTCCTCTCCAACCCTGGCTATTCCATCCCACTCCCAGCACCATTCCCATTGGAGGGCACCTACCCAGGGTTCATCTCCAGCCATGCCTCCAGCTGCCCGGCCTTGGGCGCATCGGTGCCAGTCAGGATCTTCCCGCTCTCCACGTGGATCACTTTGACTGGGAGGTCGCTCATTTGGCTCGTCTCATCCAGCGGCTGCGGGGGCAAAGCGGGAGCACGGCGGGAGCCGAGCTTGGGCTCCGCGGGTCCCCGTGGATCCGCACCAGGCTCGGGCACGGAGCCGGCTCTGGCCTCACCTCCCCATCCGGGCCGATGGCCGGCGGCTGCCCCTCCGCGTTCTCTGCCTTCTGCAGGAGGAAGAGGAGGGTTGTGAGCGATGGCATAAAGAGGAACCAACCCCCTCCATGCTCTGTGCCAAACCCACCTGGAGCAATGGCACCAAAGAGGAGTCAACCTCCTGCATGCTCTGTGCCAAACCCACCTTGAGCGATGGCACCAAAGCAGGAGCCAACCCCCTGCATGCTCTGTGCCAAACCCACCTGGAGCAATGGCACCAAAAAGGAGTCAACCTCCTGCATGCTCTGTGCCAAACCCACCTTCTTCTTCTTCTTTTTCTTCTTCTCCTTGGCCACCTGGGCCGCCTTGTGCTGCCGCACCAGCTCTGTCAGGTTAGCCACGTACTCGTCCGTCTGCTGCAGCAGGTAGGCCAGGCGCTTGTCCTTCTTCTGGTCGATGAGCTTGCGGTAGCCTTCCTCATCCTCAGCCTGCGGGGAGAGGATTCTGAGCCCCCCCCCCCAGCACCCCAACATCCCCCCCAAGGGCACCCCAAACCCCGCTACCATCAGGCGCCGCATCCGCTCCTTCTCGATGCGCTCGTTCTCCTTCTTCTGCTCGCGCTCGGTGTTGGCGTGGTACGTGGCCACCGCCTTGGTCAGCTTCTGGATCTTCCCGCTCACCGAGCGGTGGTATTCCTTGAAGTCCTTGGCGTGCTGCAGGATGCTGTTGAGGTATTCCTGCAGGGAACGGGAGCACCGGGACCAGCCGTGAGCACAGAGCAAGCACCATGAACACAGAGCCCGAACCATGGGCACAGAGCCTGAACCATGGGAACAGGGCCTGAACCATGGAAACAGAGCCTGAACCATGGGCACAGAGCCCGAATCAGGAGCCCAGAGCCCAAACCAGGAGCCCAACCCAGGAGCCCAGAGCCAAACCCAGGAGCCCAGAGCCAGAACCAGGAGCCCAGACCCGGAACCAGGAGCCCAGAGCCCCAACCAGGAGCCCAGAGCCCCAACCAGGAGCCCAAACCTGGTGCTTCTGGCGTCGCTTTCGCTCCTGCTCGATCTTCTGCTGCTTCTCCAGCTTCTCAGTGATGCGGGCCTCGCGCAGGGACTGCCGCTTGCTCCTCTTGTAGGCCTTAGCGTTGAGCGCCGTCTCCAGCGCCGTGTCCCGCCGCATGCACACCACCACCTCCTGCCGCAGCTGCGGAGCACCCCCGGGGGTGAAGCCATGGGGCTCATGGCACCGTGTCCCCCCATCCCCGGGGGTGAAGCCATGGGGCTCATGGCACCGTGTCCCCCCATCCCCGGGGGTGAAGCCATGGGGCTCATGGCACCGTGTCCCCCCATCCCCGGGGGTGAAGACATGGGGCTCATGGCACCGTGTCCCCCCATCCCCAGGGGTGAAGACATGGGGCTCATGGCACCGTGTCCCCCCATCCCCGGGGGTGAAGCCATGGGGCTCATGGCACCGTGTCCCCCCATCCCCGGGGGTGAAGCCATGGGGCTCATGGCACTGTGTCCCCCCCTCCCCGGGGGCAGCAGGGCCTTACCTGGCGCTGGAAGTTGAGCAGCCGCAGTGCCTTGAGCTCGATGGTGGCCTTGGTGCGCAGGTCGCCGGCCAGCGAGCCCGGCAGGTTCTCCAGCTCCTGGATGCGGTGGGCGATGCGGGCCTGGAGCCTGCAGGGCCACAGGCAGGGGCTGAGGACTCGGCCAGCTCCATGGAGCCCGCATTGCCTTTGGGTACCAGCCCCTCACTGAGCCTGAGACCAGATCCAACCCTCGGAGCTGAGCAATGGAGGGGGCCCACCCTGAACCTCCTGACCCACCAGCACGGCCTCCCCTGCTCAGCACCTTTGGCTCCTCTCTCCATCACCACCCCAAAGCCCTCCTTTGGTACCACTAAAGGGAAGATCCTGCCTCCTGCAAGGCACTGCTCCCCCTTCTTGCAGAGAGCAGGACCAAACCCCCCAACCCAAAGACCAGAGCATCCCAACAAATCGGGATTGGGATTGGGATGCTCCTAGCAGGGGATCCCCCCCAGCACCCACCGGTACTCGCGCTCCTGCAGGATCTCCACCGGGTCCAGCCCACGGGGCTTCTGGATGGGGGTGATGCGGTTCTGCTTCTGGTGCAGCTGCACCATGGGTGCGGGCTGCGCCGGCTGCCCCGGCGACTGCGTCTGCGGCGGCATCACCGGCGAGGCAGCTGGCGGCACTGCCGGCGGCGCAGGTGAGGGCCGCCCCGTGGGCTGCGGCGGGATCAGCTTCTGTGGGGCGCTGCTGGGGGCCGCCGCGTTGGCCAGGGGCCCTGTGGGGACACGGGGATGCAGTGGGATGGACACAGGAACGATGGGGGACACACATGGGGCACGCAGGGGACACACAGGGTATACACAGGGAACATGCAGGGTACATGCGTGGGACACACAGGGGACATGTGTGGGACACACAAGGGACACGCAGGGGACACAGGGAACACACGTGGGATGCACGTGAGTCATGCGTGGGACGTGCGTGGGACACAGATACACGGAACACGCATGGAACATGCATGGAACACGCACGGAACACGCAGGGGACTTGCATGGGAGCGCACATGGGGCTTCTTCAAGCTCCATGGGGAGAGCACACAGCCCAAGCTGGTTCTCCCGTGCTCAGTCACCATTCCCAGCAGGATCACCTGGGAATCCGCCCCCACGGCTCAGGCTCTGCCCCCGGCCCCTTGCTTCCTTTACCCCCATTGCTGCAGCCCCCAATGGGCTCTGGTCGCCCAGGTCCAGGGCCTCACCTTCTGGCCAGGGCTTGGGGGGGCCCCCGGGTGGCTGCCCCGGCATCCCGGGGGGAACTCCTGAGGGTCCAGGCGGGGGCATGTTGGGCCCCCCCATACCTGGCAACAGAGAAAAGCTGGGTTAGGCTCAAACAGAACCAGGTTGGAGATAGGGAAGTGCTTCCCTGTGAGGGATGGGGTTGACAGAGAAGGTTTGGATGCCCCATCCCTGGCAGTGGCCAAGACCGGGCTGGAGAAACCTACTCCATGCGAGGGGTCCCTGCCCACAGCAATGGGTCCGAACGGGATGGAGCTCCCCATCCCACCCCATTGGTGCCTCCGTGCCCGCACTCACCATGAGGTCTGCTGTAGTTTGGAGGTGTTGGTCCCGCTCCAGGCCCTTGCACCTGGCCCTGCACCGGCCCCGTGCCGGCCACGGCGGGCGGAGGGAGCGTGGCCATGGGCTGCTGCAGGCCGGGCACAGGGCGCTTGCCCTGCACGGCCATCTGGAGGTGCTCAGGCAGCGGCTGCCCCCGCGCCAGCATCTTGTAGGCCATGATCTGAGCGCGGAGCTGATGGAGCTGGTTCTGGTTGAAGGGGGTCGGGCCCCGGCTCTGCTGCCCCCCACCCAGAGCCTGTGGGTCAGCTCCGTCCAGCGGTCCCGAGGCCATGGCGGCACCCGAGGAGGGGCCGTTGGCCGGCACCGGGCTGGAAGCGTGCTCGGAGCCACCGAGCGGGGAAGGGTACCCTGGAAAAGAGGGAGCTCAGAGCTGGGAATGGGAGCAGTGGGGCAGGGGAAGGAGGAAATGACACACACACACCCCCCCCCCCCCCGCCCATGGTGGAGCCGGGGCCTGGGAAGCTCTGGAGGGCTTTATCCAACCCAAAGCCATGGATCTGGGAAGGATGGGCCTGAGCGAAGAAACTGCTGGAGCCCTTCTCATGCAGAGGGAAAACAACCCCCAAAATCATGGATTGGAGAATGGATGTGTGCAGGAATCCTCCTGCTCATGCATGGAGGGAATGAACGCCCCAAATCCTTGAGGGAACACTGTGTCCTCCTCCACAACCTCAGCACAGACTGTGCCATGCAGAGGGGCAGTCAAGCCTTGATGCCATTCCCTGCATGTCTCCCTATCCCATGGGATACGTGTGAGGAGCAGATGGAAGCAACCCCCCCGGAAGAGGCTGCAGAGCTCCATCCCCTTAGTTTGCAGACACCAACCTTGGGAATGCTGGTCCATGGGGCTGGGGGGAGGCCCCATCCCTGCGTGCGCGCCCGGCCGCAGCCCCATCCCCTTCATCTGCCCATAGCGAGGGTCCTCGCTCAGCCCCTTCTCGTGCAGGGGGTCCATGGGCTGGAGAGGGGGGACGACAAAAAACACCCCCAGGATCAGAGCCCCGTCATTCCCAGCTCTCCTAGGAGCATCCCTCAGGGATGGATCCCGGCGCTGGCCTCACCTTATGGAGCTGGTGCAGGTTGTCCTGAGCGTAGCCAGCGGGGCCCTGCGGCGGCAGTGGGTGCCCGGCCGAGGGGGGGCCAGGGCTGGGTCCCATCATGCTGTGAGCGGAGCCCGGCGAGGGCCCGGGGCTGGGCCCCAGCATGGCCCCGGGGGAGGGACCTGGCCCCGGGGAGGGCCCCGGCCGCGGCGTCCCACCCATGGGGGGGTCCGGAGTGGACATGGTCAGGGCCGGGGTAACGGAGCCGTCAGTGCCGGGATAACAGAGCCGTCACCGATGGGATAACGGAGCCGTTACCTATGGGATAATGGAGTCGTCAGTGCAGGGGTAATGGAGCTCTCCCCCATGGGATAACGGAGCCGTAACCTATGGGATAACGGAGACGTCAGTGCAGGGGTAATGGAGCTCTCACGGATGGGATAACGGAGCCGTCACAGATGGGATAATAATGCTGTCAGTGCCGGGATAACGGAGCCATCACCACCAGTTCCCCCCTCAACCCAAGCTCCGCTCTCCTGCTCGGGTTTATCCCTATTCCCAAGCACCCTCCTTGCCACGGGAGGAACGCCGGGATCCTGGCACCCACCTATCCCAGGATGTTGCCTCCAGAGATCCCGTCCTGAGGTCGGGGGGGCTCAGTCCCAGCACCTGTGTCCTGGAGAGGAAGATTTCCAGGGTCAGGAGCAGCCCCAGGAACAGAACCTGCACCCCGGGAGCCTCCTTCCTCATCCTGATCCTTCCCATCCCGCTCCTTCCTCATCCTGATCTTTCCCTACCCTGATCCTTCCCTGTTTCTGATCCATCCCCACCTTGATTCTTCCCATCCTGCACCTTCCCTGTTCCTGATCCATCTCATCCTGACCCTTCCCCATCCTGATCTTTCCCTATCCTGATCCCTCCCCATCTTGATCCTTCCTCATCCTGATCCCTTCCCATCCTGATCCTTCCTCATCCCACTCCTTCCTTCCCCGTCATGTTCTTTCTCTATCCTTATTTTTCCCCACCGCATGGATTTGAAGCCGCACAAATCCATCCCTCCCCCCGGCCTCCTTCCCACTTGCATCCTGGAAAACAAGGATAATCCTTGGGAACGAGCTCATTCCCATCCCCGGCAGCAGGTAAAGCCCCCTGGTACCCGGGATGAATGCCACACCAGCCCCCCGCTCACCGGGAATGCCGGGACCCCTCCTCTGCGGCACCGGGAAACGCATCCCGGGAATGCCGCGGGGGGATGCTGTTCCCAAACCCAGGAGTTTCCTCATTAATAGAATGGAGGGGGGGGGGGGGGCTGAGCCCTCAACCCCCCCTATGCTGCCCCATGGACCCCCCCGGATGGGGCCCTTCCCATCAGATCCCAGTGGATCCCCCCCAGGCCTTTGTGCTGGGAAGGTGCTGGATCCTTATGGAGCATCCACACAAGAAAGGAGAGGGGGACAAATCCATTCATTCTGAGGGGGGGTGATGGGATGGGGGGGTGAAGGGATGGGGGGGGCAGAGGATGCTGAGCCCCAGGGACCCCCCCAGAACCAACTCGGGGGGGGTAGAGGACAAAGAGAGCCCCGGATGGGGGGAGGGGGGGGCACAAGGAAAGGGGGGGAATGGGCTGGGGGGGGGGGAAATCGGTGTCTCTGCTCCCCCTCCCCCCCCCGTAGACATGAATGGGGGGGATGGGGAGGGATCGGGGGGGTCGAGGATGGCGGCAGAGACCGACGGGGACGCGCGGAGGCCTCCCCCCTCCCCCCCCCCAGCGCTCACCGCTCGCAGCTCCCATCGCAGACGGGGGGGGAGGGAGGCGGCCTCGGCTCGGCCGGGACCGGGACCGGGACCGGGAGCGGAGCCTCGGGAGCGGGACCGGAGGGGGGGGGGGGGGGGGGGGGAACAAAGGACCCGGCGGAGCCGCCGGAGCCGCCTGAGGGAGCGCGCGCCCGCCGCAGCCCGCCCAGCGCGCGTGCGCGGCGCTGCTCGCTGCTCGTCCCGCCCCTCCCTCCCCTCCCTCCCAATAGCAGCGCTCCACCCACCGCCGCTCCAACAGCGCGGGCCAATGAGAGCACGGGATAGGAACTCCCTCCAAACCCTCACTGCAGTGGAGGGCACGCCCCCCCTCCCTTCACCCATTGGCGGGGCAGCGGGAGCCAATAGGAGGAGGGGAGAGGAGGCCTGAGGCCCCGCCCACTCCGCTCGCGGCTGCCAATGGGAGGCGCGCTCGCGCGATTCCCCCCTCCCCGCTCAAGCACGCCCCCCCCACCGCCTTTCCCCGTTCCGCGCGTGCGCAGTGAGAGCGGCACTGCGGCGGAGGGAGGGGCAGAGGGAACGGGGGAAATAGGGGGGTAATGAAGGGAAAACGGGAAATAATGGGAAAAATAGAGAGAAATGGGGAAACATGGGGGAAGTAATGGGATATAGAGAGAAAATAGAGGGAAAATAGAGAAAAATGGGGGAAGTGAAGGGGAATAATGGGAAATAAAGGGAAAATAGAGATGGGGGAAATAATGGGAAATAGAGCAAAAAAATAAAGGGAAAATAGAGATGGGGGAAATAATGGGAAATAGAGCAAAAAATAAAGGGAAAATAGAGATGGGGGAAATAATGGGAAATAGAGCAAAAAATAAAGGGGAAATAGAGATGGGGGAAATAATGGGAAATAGAGCAAAAAATAAAGGGGAAATAGAGATGGGGGAAATAATGGGAAATAGAGCAAAAATAAAGGGAAAATAGAGATGGGGAAATAATGGGAAATAGAGCAAAAAATAAAGGGAAAATAGAGATGGGGGAAATAATGGGAAATAGAGCAAAAAATAAAGGGGAAATAGAGATGGGGGAAATAATGGGAAATAGAGCAAAAACAAAGGGAAAATAGAGATGGGGAAATAATGGGAAATAGAGCAAAAAATAAAGGGAAAATAGAGATGGGGGAAATAATGGGAAATAGAGCAAAAAATAAAGGGGAAATAGAGATGGGGGAAATAATGGGAAATAGAGCAAAAATAAAGGGAAAATAGAGATGGGGAAATAATGGGAAATAGAGCAAAAAATAAAGGGAAAATAGAGATGGGGGAAATAATGGGAAATAGAGCAAAAAATAAAGGGGAAATAGAGATGGGGGAAATAATGGGAAATAGAGCAAAAATAAAGGGAAAATAGAGATGGGGAAATAATGGGAAATAGAGCAAAAAATAAAGGGAAAATAGAGATGGGGGAAATAATGGGAAATAGAGCAAAAAAATAAAGGGGAAATAGAGATGGGGGAAATAATGGGAAATAGAGCAAAAAATAAAGGGAAAATAGAGATGGGGGAAATAATGGGGAAATAGAGCAAAAAATAAAGGGAAAATAGAGATGGGGGAAATAATGGGAAATAGAGCAAAAAATAAAGGGGAAATAGAGATGGGGGAAATAATGGGAAATAGAGCAAAAATAAAGGGAAAATAGAGATGGGGAAATAATGGGAAATAGAGCAAAAAATAAAGGGAAAATAGAGATGGGGGAAATAATGGGAAATAGAGCAAAAAATAAAGGGGAAATAGAGATGGGGGAAATAATGGGAAATAGAGCAAAAATAAAGGAAAATAGAATGGGGAAATAATGGGAAATAGAGCAAAAAATAAAGGGAAAATAGAGATGGGGGAAATAATGGGAAATAGAGCAAAAAATAAAGGGGAAATAGAGATGGGGGAAATAATGGGAAATAGAGCAAAAATAAAGGAAAATAGAGATGGGGAAATAATGGGAAATAGAGCAAAAAATAAAGGGGAAATAGAGATGGGGGAAATAATGGGAAATAGAGCAAAAAAAAAGGGAAAATAGAGATGGGGAAATAATGGGAAATAGAGCAAAAAATAAAGGGAAAATAGAGATGGGGGAAATAATGGGAAATATAAAATACAGAAAAATGGGGGAAATGAAGTGAAATAGGGTGGAATAAAGGGAAATGGAGAGAAAATAAGAAATGCAGGAAAATAGGGGGAAACAAAGAGAAATAGAGGGAAATGGGAGGGAATGAAGGCAAATGGGGGAAATAGGTTGGAATAGGGGAAATAGAGGGGGAATAAAGGGAAATAGGGAGAAATGGGAGGGAATGAAGGCAAATAGGGGGAAATAGAGGGGGAATAAAGGGAAATAGGGGGAAATGGAAGGGAATGAAGGGAAATGGGGGGAAATAGGTTGGAATAGAGGGCAATAGAGGGGGAATAAAGGGAAATGGGGAGCAAGAGACACTGGACACTGGACCAGAGCCACCGAGAGTTTCATTCACTGGCACGGATGGAATCCAAGGGGATTCGGCTGCGGGCCCAGGGCAGGGATTGCTCCGTGCTGGGCAATGGGGGCCGTGACAGGGCAGGAGGAGGGGGCTGCTCCCGAGGGATAACAGAAAAGGATAACCCAAGGGATAACGGGGGCTTCAGCTGGAGATGGGGATGAGCTCATCCACACTGAGCGGGCACCATCGGAACTGGGGCACTGCCAGAGCCACCAACCCTGGAAGCGCTCCCAACCCATGGGTCAGCAGTGCTGGGATGGATGGGTCCCAACCCATTCAGTGCCATGGGTCTGCAGTGGTCTTGATGGTGCTGGGAATGGTTCGATTGGATGGATCCCAACCCAAGCAGTGCCATGGGGCTGCGATGGCCTCAGTGGTGCTGGGAATGATTGGGCTGGATGTATCCCAACCCAAGCAGTGCCGTGATGGTGCTCGGAACAGTTGAATTGGATGTATCCCAACCTATTCAGTGCCATGGGGCTACGGTGATCTCGGTGGTGCTGGGACTGGTTGGGCTGGATAAATTCCAACCCAAGCAGTGTCGTGGTGGTGCTGGGAACAGTTGGGCTGGATGGATACCAAACCATTCAGTGCCGTGGGTCTGCAATGGCTTCCGTGGTGCTGGGAACGGCTGGGTTGGATGGATCCCAACCCATGCAGTACCACGGGACTATGGTGATCTCTGTGGTACTAGAATGGTTGAGCTGGATGGATCCCAACCCATTCAGTGCCGTGGGTCTGCAGTGGCCTCGGTGGTGCTGGAACAGCTGGGTTGGATGGATCCCAACCCAAGCAGTGCCGTGGGTCCATGGTAGCCATGGTTGGACTCGGTGCTCTCCAGGTCCTTAGGCCCCCTCAGGCCTCCTCCTCCTCCCCGGCGATGCCATCGCCCAGCACGGCGGGCTCGTACTTCTGCAGGAAGAGCCGCTCGGTGTGCTCGGAGCGGAGCTGCCGCGGCTCGAGGCAGCGCAGGTGCGGCGGCAGCGCCCGGAACTCGTCCTCGTTGACATCGTAGTCGCGGAGCCGGTGCCGCAGCAGCCACCAGCGCCCACAGAAGCCCACGTCCAGCAGACGGGCGGGGGCCTGGCGCCACAGCGGCTGCAGGTACCGGCACCGGCTGGCGTAGAGCTGGGCGCTGGCGCTGCACGGGGCCTCGTAGACCACGGCGAGCAGCACGAGGTGGCGGTAGCGCAGGCGCCCGGCCTCGCGGCGCCGCAGCAGGCGCTGCACGTGGCGTTCGGCACCGGGGCTGCGGGTACCGGGGCTCAGCACCAGCAGTGACCCCGCGGCCTCCACCACGGCCGCCTCGAAGGACTCGGCGCTGGGCACCGAGGAGCCGCACGCGGCCGCCCCGCTCAGCGCCGCCGCCGTCACCGCCAAGGCCAGCGGGCGCTGCCGAGCGCTCTGAGCCGTCTCCCGCAGCGCCGTGGCGTAGTCCTGCACCAGCGCCTGGCACCAGCGCCCTGCGCAGCGTGGGGCAGGTGCATGAGGGGAGGCAGGACCGGGCTGCCCCATAAGTGGCTCCTAACTGAACCCACCCCATGGGTCCTGGGTCCTGCTGCCCCATCAGTGAGCCCAGGGATGCCAACTGCCCCCCAAGTAAACGCAGGGGACACAGTTATCCCCCAAGTGAAGCCAAGGGTCCTGCTTCCCTCCCCCCAAGTGAACCCACAGAGCTCCCCTCCCCCCCAAGTGAATCCCCAGGGCCCCTCTGCCCCCCAAGTGAACACACAGCCCAGCTGCCCCCTAAGTGAACCCATAGAGCCCCCCTGCCCCCTAAGTGAACCCATAGATTCTGGATGACCCCCAAGCGAACCCATAGAGACCTCCTGCCCTCCAAGTGAACCCACAGAGCCCGACTGCCCCCCAAGTGAACCCAAAGGCCCCGTTCCCCCCATGAAGCCCCGAGGTATTCCCCCCCCCAGCCCCATAAGTGCCTGCGCTGCCCCCCAAGTGCCCCCCCCCCATGGCCCCCCCTCACCGAGCCGGGTTCTCGCCATCCACGCCCAGAGCCCGCGGCCGGCCCCGACCGCTGCCGCCGCCATGACCGGAAGCGACCCCGGCGGGACGGAGCCGGGCACGGACCGGACGGAACCACCGCGGGGAGAAGGGGGGCAGGGAGGAACTAAGAGGGACGGACCGGGCGGAACCATCGCAGGGCGCTGGGGGGGGGTCCATCGGACACCATTGGGGCTCGGCGCTTGCAAACCCCCCCGTTTATTCAGCACTGGAGCCACAGCGAGGAGCTGCCCCCCTCCCCCCATGGCACTGGGGTGGAGGGGTCCCCACAGCCCCCATAAGGGGGGGTACAGCTGGAACCTTCCGGTGCCCCCCCGCCCCCCCGAACCGGGAGCGCTTGGTACATTCAGGCCTTGACCCGGGGAGAGGGGGGAGGGGCGGAGGGGGGACACCCCCACCCCCCTCTCTTTCCTCCCCCTCCTCCCCTCATTCCCAGGTCCCGGTCCTGGCCGTTCGTTAATAAAAAACCCCCAAAATACCCCAAAAATGAGCGCCGAAAGCTCCGGGATAAGGGGGGGAGGGAGGGGGAGGGGGTGTTTTGGGGTGTTCCCCCCGTCCCCCCCCCCCCGGTTTTGGTTCCGGCCGCGCAGCCTCAGCTGCCGTAGTGCATGGTGTTGGTGGTGATGGACATGGGCGACGCCATGGAGATGGCGGGGCCGCCCATGGTGAACTGGCTGTTGAGCGGGTAATGCGCGCTGGAGACAGCGCCCCCTTGCGCCGTGGAGGAGCCTGCGGGAACCGGGGGGGGGTTAAAAGGGGGTTAAGGGGGAGGTGGGGGCTGTTTTGGGGTGTTTGAGGTGGGTTTTGGGGTGTTTGAAGAGGGTCTGGGGATGTTTGGGGCCGTTTTGGGGTGTCTGACATTGGGAGGTTTGGGGCTGTTTTGGGGTGTTTAATGAGGGTTTGGGGGGGTGGGCTGTTTGGGGAGGATTTTGGCGTGTTTGAGGTGGGCTTTGGGGTGTTCAGAAAAGATTTTGGGGTGTTTGAGGAGGGTTTTGGGGTGTCTGGGGGGGGCCATACCTTGAACGATGCCGGTGCTCATGATGGAGCCCATCCTGGAGTGAGTGTGGTTGACGATGCCGGTGTTGGCTGCGGAAGGGGGGGGGGCGAAGAGGGGGATGGATTTGGGGTGAGTTTAGGGTGGATATGGGGGTGCTGCCTCCCCCCACCCATAGCCCCCCCCCAAACCCCCACCTAAGGGGATGAGGTTGTTGTGGCCGACGTTGGAGCCGCCGGCGATGACACTGCTCAGGTCGTAGGCTGCTGGCATCCCTGTGCATGCAATGGGGAGGGGTCAGACCCCAAAGTGGGGTTTAACCCCCCCATCAAGGTGTGTCATCCCCCCAGCACCCACCGGCCACAGCCATGCCCGTGCTCATGTTGTAGGTGCTGCCCGTGCTCCACATGTTCTCTGATGGGGACGTGTAGTGGGAGCCGGGGGGGGGCGACGGCGTCGTGCCCGTGTACCTGCACATGGGGGGGGCAGAAGTGAGCGATGGGGGGGCTCCTGGACAACCCCCCGCCCCCCCTTTGGTGCCCCCCCCCACCTGAAGAAGGGGTTTTTCAGGTCCAGGAGGTTGCTGGACTTGGAGCCGGTTTGGTCAACCTGGGCCACAATGCTGATGTCGTAGCTCTGTCTGGGGGGGCACAAGGGGTGAGAGCCCCAGGGGTGGGAGGAACCCCCCCAACCCCCCCCCTCCAAAGCACTGGGGGGGGGGGGGGGGGGGAAATGGCTCTGGCACGCTCTGGCACCGGGGTGCTCATTGCCTGCATCAGGGGCTATAAATACAGCTCCAGAACTGGGCCCCCCCCAGGCCCAAACTGGATCAGCCCCCCCCCAGCCTACCCTGAGCTATTCCTGGTGCCAGCGCCCGGTGCCCAGGGACCGTGGCACAACCAAACGGGACAGCGGCTGGGGTAAGGATACAGGAGTGGGATGGGGGGGATGGGGATGGAAGGGGGATGGAGATGGGATGGGGATGGGATGGGATGCAGTGGGATGGGGATGGGATGCAGTGGGATGGGGATGGGATGCCAGTGGGATGGGGATGGGATGGGGATGGGATGCAGTGGCATGGGATGGGGATAGGATGCATTGGGATGCGGATGGGATGCAGTGGGATGCGGACAGGATCGGGACAGGACGTGGTGGGATGGGGATGTGACAGGGGGTCCCCCCGCGCCCCACCTCTGTTGGCGATGAGCAGACACGTCCCTGAGAGTGTGTCCCCAGCTTTGGCAAACAGCGGCGACTGGAAGAGGCACCGGACCTGGTACCAATGGGTCAGCGGCTCGGTGGGGGCCGTCGAGAGCCACACGGTCATGCTATGGGGGGGGGGAAGGGAGGAAGAGGAAGATGAGGAAGATGAGGAGGAGGAAGAGGAGGAAGAAGGACCCCCTGAGCCCCCCCTGCACATACATGGAGCCGATGAAGGCGACGTCGAACCAAAAGGCGAGGCCGTGGACCAGCCCCGAGTGCAGCATGTGGAACTTGAAGGGGATTTCTATCCTGTGAGGCACAAGGGGGAGGGGAGGTCATGGGGGGGGCCCCCAAAAGGCTTTGGGGTGCCCGCCCCCGTTACCACCAACCTGTGCAAGTCACCCTCCTTCGCCTCCAGGAAGTTCACGGTGTATTTGACCGATTTGGCCATTAAAATGCGGATATCGAAGGTGTCCTGGGGGGGGAATGGCACAAAGGGGGGAGGGGGATCAATGGGCAGGCCCCCCCCCCCCCCCCCCCCAGGACCCAATGGGGTTTTGGGGCGCACTCACCACCACGGGCTGCCGGAAATACTCATCCACGGCGGCACCGCGCAGCGCCGAGAGGTCCACGCCGTGGAAGGAGGGTTGGTACCTGCCATGGGGGGTGGGAGACACACAGCAATAGGATCAATGGGGAAGGGAAGGGGGGGTCCAAGGAAGGGTTGGGATGGGGCTGGACCCCCCCCCCTCGGCACTCACCAGAAGTTGGCTTTGGTGAACTGCTCCATGTAGAGCTGCTCGTCGGTGAACGGGGCCAAGTGGACGTCGCCGATGGTGGGGAACATGTTCCCTGGGGGGGCAAAGGGGAGGATAGTGGAGGGGGGGATTCGGCAGAGCCGGTGCCGGGCGCCGGTGCCGCGGACTCACCGCTGGGCTTCAGGTACTTCTTTGGCGTGGAGGTAGCTCTCGAGCATGCGCTCGTTGAAGAGCATGTAGCCCATGGGCTCCGAGATGATGACGTCCACCTGCTCCGGCAGCGCCACCTCCTCCACCTTGCCGGGGATCACCACGATGCGCTCCGTCAGGTTGTTGCTCTTCACCAGCACCTGCAATGGGGAGCAATGGAAATGGGGGGGGGTAGCACTGAGGACCCCCAGGGGCAGTGCCGGTGGTGCCGGCGGTGCCCACCTCGGCGTGCTGGGCCATGGTGCTGGCTTCCACCGCGTAGATCTTCCTGGCACCAGCTTGCGCTGCGAAGAAGGAGAGGATCCCGGAGCCACAGCCCACGTCCAGCACGATCTGGGGGGAGAGGGGGAAGCGCCGGCTCCCTCATCTGCATCCTGGGGCTCCCATCCCGGTGCAACCACCCCTGTGCCCCCATCCCGGTGCTCCCTTCCCAGTGCAGCTCCGGTCCCAGTGCAATAAAGGTGTCGGTGCCAACCAGGATGTGGTGCTGGACACCCCCACCCCCTCCCCACCGTGTGCCCTTGATCCTAGTTCCTGATCCTGCTTCCCGATCCCAGTGTCATGGTCCCAAGCCTGGTCCCTCCATCCCCAGCCCAGTCCCAGTCTCCCACCCTGCTTTCCACCCCAGTCCCTGATCGGAGTCGTCTTCCCGACCCCATTTCCAGTCCCAGACCTGGTGCCCATTCACGGTCCTGTTCCCAATCCTGGTTCCATTCCCAGTCCCAGTTGTGATCCCATTCCCAACTCCATTCCTGATCATGGTTCCCAGGGCTGGTCCTGCTTCTATTCCCAGCACCGGCTGTGGTCCCATTCCCAGTTCTGCCCATTCATGGTCCTGTTCCCAATCATGGCTCCCAATCCTGATCCCATTCCCGCTTCCCAATCCCATTCCCAAGAGCACTGGGGCACTTGGGCTATCGGGGGGCTCTCAAAGTCCCAGCAAAGGGCAAGGGAAAGCAGGACCCCGAGGCCGGAAAGCCCAGCGGAGGGGGCCTCATCCTGCCCGGGTCCCGGCCCCCCCGGACCTTGTCCTTGAAGTCGCTGTGGTTCTGCAGGATGGCGCGCTGGTAGGTGCCCGTCCGCACGTAATCCTGCATCATGTTCTGCTGCTGCGACAGGTACCCATAGAACTGCGGGCACGGAGCGGAGCGCAGCTCAGCACCGGGCTCAGCAGCGGCACCGCGCTCGGCAACACGCTCAGCACTGTGATCAGCACCGGCACTGCGCTCAGCACCGGCATTGCTCTCAGCACCGGCATTGCTCTCAGCACCGGCACTGCGCTCAGCACCGGCATTGCTCTCAGCACCGGCACTGCGCTCAGCCCCACACTCAGCACGGGCTCTGTGCTCAGCCCCGCACTCAGCCCCAGCCCCGCCGGGCCCCACCTGGAAGTACTGCACGGCCGAGGACTCCTCGGTGCGCTCGCTGAACACGGAGCGCTCGGTGTTGTGCCCGCGGCAGTTCTTCAGGATGTTGTAGAAGGAGCAGAAATCTGGGAGCAACGGAAGGAGGTGGGAAAGGGGGGGCTCAAACCGCATCCTGAACCCCGGTGCTGTGTCCCAGTGCTGCATCCCACATCCCACATCCCAGTGCCACGTTGCATCCCAGTGCTGCATCCTGCATCCCAGTTCCACATCCCAGTGCCACATCCCGCATCCTAGTACCACATCCCGCATCCCAGTACCACATCCTGCATCCCAGTACCATATCCCGCATCCCGGCGCCGCATCCCGCATCCCGCATCCCGGTGCCACATCTGGCATCCTGGTGCTGCATCCCGCATCCCACAGCCGCATCCTGCATCCCAGACCCTGCATCCCAGAGCCCGGCGCTCACCGGCGGGGGTGGCGAACTGGAGCAGGACGCTGTTGCAGCCCAGGGTGACGATGAACGACTGCTTCCCCA